AGGCCTTCTAAGATCCCAACTGGAGGAGGGGACGTCGAGCCAACTGCATTGCCCCTCTATCTACCGCCAACTCTTTGTGAATCGACAAGTCCGCCTGGCGTGGTATCACAGGCGCACAGTAATACTCGAACGCCCCGACTGAACAATGGGCGAGCAAACGCCGCTCTTAGGAACTCGCGATGGGTTTGAATCACCCCATAGCCAGTTTTGCACACTTGTTGGAGTGCCACCATCGTACAAACTACCGGCAGGCTCGAAACGTGCGGCAACTGGTCCCAAAACCCTCTACGGGCGTGCCCTCCGTCAGCGTTCTGCACAGACCTGGACGTACAACCTTACAGCAGCGCTGTCGAATACACTACTCCTTTCTCAAGTCGTGCTCGGAGCTGCATTAACTGCATTAGGGGCGTCCGAGAGCTCACACGTCCTGATAACGAGTAAGGAATATGCAGCTATTGCATGAGGTCTGCTGATGCTCTACTAGTTTTTGGAGCCACAAACACAATCATTGCGGGGTTAGTCGCGTACTTGAAGAGTCGAGGCCAGCCTATGCGTGCACGCATGTTTCGCGACGACCTCGAACGGGTGGTTGATGAGATTGAGAACTCGGAAGTCATGTGGCTGGGCATTAGTCGAGCGGCACATGGTTACGATGCAATCGACACGGATGACGAGGTCACCGTTCGCAGTGAGGTTGCCCGCCTAACACGTCTGTATGATAAGGCCGTCCGGACCAACACGATGAACAACCCGGATATGTACATGGGTGGGAGTGTTGATCCTGCCGCGGCCGCTGCATTGCGAGCGCGAGCGCCCCCTCTTCCCATCCCAGCTCAAGTGCAGGTCCCGTCCACGGAGTCCCCTTCAAACAATGGACCAACGGATGCTGCTCCTCTTCCGACGGAGCCAGTAGTGGACCCCGATGAAAGTCCTGCCAGCGCCAGACCAAAGTCAGCCACCCAATCACCTTCGAAAGCATCGGGCGAGGACGACTTCAAGACGGACAGCAACGACAAGCAACCGGTGCCCGAGCATGCGACAAGTGATCCTCAAAATCGGCCACCAGGCACCCAAGATGCTAGAGCGGATCCGGACGAAAGTCCTGCAAGTGCTTTACCCAAGCCTTCCAAGCCCAGCATCTCATCATCTTCTGAAAACGTAGTCAATCCAAACGTTCCTTTTGAGACAAATCCAAACTCGCCTGCTGCTGATTCCAAGAAATCCTCCAACCCAGATGCACCGGAGGTCCCTCCAGACGCAAACCACGTGGATGGAGAAAGACTACCGAATGGCGACGGATCTGGCAACGAATCGATACATGATAATACTCATGTGGACCATCCAGCATGATCCTGGCGACGCTATGCAGAAAGATGTCAATCTTCGGAAAGACTCTTGAAGCCGACACTAAGTTGCTGTGCCACCCTCCCCTCTACATCACCTTTTCACTAATAACAACCTTCGTAAGTGCTCTGCCTTGCTATCAACGCGTCTCGTAGCTGACTAAGATAGCTATTAGAATCAAATACCTTATCAAGCATACCATCACAATAGAGAGGGAGCTGCCAATCAGAGTAGCAAACAATGTGAGTCTCCTCATCCTTCACCTCTACCTTCCCAATTCGTCTTGACCTTTACTAACACCTGCTTAGCAGCCCGACCCTCCCCCTCTTCTCCTCTAGCTGCCCGTCAGGGCAGCACCCAGCGTAAGTCCGCCCAATTTTCACACGGACTTGTGAAATCATCTCTACCTATACTGACACCACCTTAGCAGCGGGAGGACCCTCCCCACCTCTAGCACCTCGAGCCACCACCACCACCACTACCAGCCCTAGCGGCACACCACCATGGCCGGCACCAATCCCGCGGGACCGGCCCGCCTAGCTGCAGGAACGTGCCCCATGAGAAGGTGCATGCCAGACTTGAAGGTCCGACGTAATTATTTACCAACTGGCATCTTACTTTTCCCTTCTCAGCCATCTCAAACGATCATCTTCCTTCCGTCTACTCGGAGACGTCGACCGAGAGGATTCTGCGCTGTCTAGAAGGACTTAGAACGCACGGATGATGGAAGCAACATTATCAGCTTCGAAGAATGTGGGCCCGGTCACCACGCATTTGCTATACCACCTCTCTCCACTAATTCGAAGCAATATCATGCAATTTCATCCGCAAACACCACACACATCTAATACCTCAACCTTGAGCGAACTCCCTAGCCGCCATATCCATTGGATTAATTCGAAAATTATCGTCTCTCCTCCTTCTTCTTCTCCGGCTCTCCAAAATGGCTGTCGTCAAGCCAACCCATCTCGAATTTCTGGTAGGAGAACCCTACTGGTGAATCCGGCAGTCGGGGGATGTACGCCTAATACGGTGACAGGAACGACCGTTCGTAACTGGAGGGCAGCATTTCTACCGCCTCCCGAGACTCCTGGTCTTTCCTAAAAGCCTGTTCATCACGAACAATTTCCTCCCTTTCCTCACAGAAATACCACCCATGACCAGTCAAATTGCAATATTCGCATGGCTTAGCAGCTGCTTTCTAAGCGAGCTGTGTCCAGCGAATACGCTTACTTTTAGGGTCATGAGCAGAAAGTCCATCTTCTAGAACCAGGTTTTCCCAGAGGTTCGGTCTATGTGCCGCCGAAGCGGTATTCTGCGAAGTTGTTTGAGCAGGCTTCGACTGCTGATCCTCGAATATGTAGCGCCTCCCAAGCGGACCTTGTCGGGGTGGGAGGGCCTTACGGCGCCGCTCCTTCTGGGATTCTTGGAAGGCTTTTACCTCCTCTTCCGATTTGCCCTCCTTCCTTATCTTATGAACTGGCCACTCAACCGTCACCTAATAATCGTACCTTCTGGCGGTAAGGGCGTCGGCCTCTTTGGTGGACATATTCTCCATACCCTTCCCGCTAGTGCTGCCCGATGTGAATCGCTCTCCGTAGCACTAAGTTCACTAGAATATACGGACTTGCTAGGGACCCTCGTCTATATGGCTTCTAAGCGCCGTAGGAGAATCACCTCCTCTGGCATCTCTTACAGCCTAGAAAGTGAACGACTAGGAATGCGGCGTGCGAGTACAGCCATAGTATATCTTACTCATGGGTCTATATAATAGAAGCTAACGCTCTGACTTGCTAAAGTGTGTCAAAGTGACGATAATCGTTTCTGGTATGCGGTCACCGAGACGTTTCTGCGCTGACCGAAAGGACCTAGAAGGCACGGATGATGGAACCAACATCATCAGCTTCGCCAATGGCCCAGGCAGAGTCACTAGCTTCTTTCACCTCATCTCCGAGCACTATCTTACACTGATCAAGAAATTTGGCTTCCAGCTGGTCGTTCGTCATGGGGACCTCCAAGCTACCGACTGCATGATCGACATGCTTCTGCAGTCTTAGCGAATTTCCGAAGACGATCTCCACACTTGTTTCGTCCGCTTTGAGTTGAGCGTCGGCATTTGCTTGAACCTTGTCTCTGATAGATACAACGGCCGGGTCTCTAACAACATCGTCCGAATACTGCGATGGCCCGGCTTTCCCGTAAAGGAGGCCCACAGAACATCCATGGAAAACGGAGAATTTGCCCTCCAATCCATCCCTTGGAGTTCTCTTGGACGTTAGCTCAATGACTAATGGATGAACCTTTGCAGTAACACTCTCAATGTCTCTCGGTATAAGCCCGTTTGATTGCATCTCCTCATGGAGCTGTATACAGGCATCTATAGCCGGGTGGCAGACGATACCTTTGCAGCGTCAGCAGATGCACATGCATTCATAGCGGATTTGACAGAACGCTTACCGCAGGGGAAGGGTTTGAAGGCGTTTCGTTCGATCTCCCAAACGGTCCCGAGTTCACGCAGATACTTGTCAAGTTTCGGCGTTCCTCCACCTGCAACAACATTCGCCCACCCCCTCTTTGCTTCCAAAGCTTGCGGGCTCGACGTGAAGCCTTTTTCAGCACACAAAGCAGCTAGCAGACCACTTTGCGCCGCTCGTCCTGGATGGAAGGACTTTGTGTCACTGCCGAACATCTCTCTTAGGCCGACGTTCTGAGTACTCGCTAGCCCGATTGCATGGGCCATTTTCCCTTCGTCCAAATTCATGAGCTTTCCCACTGCGACTGCAGCCCCGATACAACCAGTAGTGCTAGTGATATGCCAACCAATGTCGTAGTGTGCGGGCCAGACCGCGAGGCCGAGTTTGCAACTTGCCTCGATGCCAGCAACGAGCGCGCAAAGTAGGTCTTTTCCAGAGACACCGCCTTTGTGCTCAGCGTATGCGAGCAGTGCGCTTGCTACCGGACCGGTAGGATGGATGATCGTGGCGAGGTGAGTGTCATCGTAGTCATGGACATGTGAAGCTACGCCGTTCACCAGACAAGCCAGCTGCGGGTCAGTCCTTCTTTCGCCGCCATGCCCAAGTAGGGAAGCAGTAGCTAGACCTTGGAATGGCGAAAGCGCATCGTAGAGTTTGGTGACGGTTGGATGTTGGGAGCCGCCAATGGCGCAGCCAATCCAGTTGTACAGCGAACGGACTGCGGCGTCTTTGACAGGCGACGGCAGTTTTGACGCGGTCAAACTAATAGCCCAATTGGCCAATACTTTGGTGGCCATGATTACCTACATGTATATGGGTGTAATTGAGTCGCGCGATTGCTTATCGTAGGCGGAATCGTAAAATCGCCCATAGTTCGTGATCTACATGACCACGGAAGCAGTTGCCGGGCGGTTCGGGAGTGGAGTCGAGAGGTAGCGAAGTGCCCGGTTTACATCCACGAAAACCCGGCGTGATACCTGGATACAGGATTATCGACCACTCTTACTAAGTTGCAGTGGTAGCGCAGCGGTAGAGCGTGGGATTGCAGTGTCACACCGTTGCAGTCATCCCAAGGTCCCGAGTGAGATGGACCCGGAAGTATTGCGATGCATCAGCGCCGCACAAAAAGGATACCTGTGAGGATCGCGAGTGGATTTCAGAGGGTTACAGAATGGCAAAAACAGCAGCGACCGTGGATCGAACACGGGACCTTAGGATGACTGCAACGGTGTGACACTGCAATCCCACGCTCTACCGCTGAGCTACCACTGCAACTTAGTAGGAGTGGTTTACAATTTTGTTCATATTACGTTGTTTATCTGAATCAAAAGCGCTCCAGCGGTTTGAAGTGGAGCACCTCAGAACTGTTATTCACCTCAATTTCGCCAGCGAGACCCTAGGCAGCTGTGGCAAGTCCTGATGACTTTATCACATAGAGTGCTGCTGAGAGAGAAGCTCACACGGCAGCACTAATAGGCGATAGACTTTGGTGGTTTACTTTTCCGGACCCTAAGAGGTGCCGAAGGAGGTATGTTTCTAGTATGGCTAGCGACACTCTAGGCAGCTATGGCGAGTCCTAGTGACTTATGTACAACAGGTGCTACTAAGAGAGATGCTTAATGCGACAGCACTGACGGGCGTCACACTTTGGTCGTTTACTTTCAAGGGCCTCTAGAGGTGCCGGAGTGCGTCGCTCTCGCGCCTTCATGATGGATGTGTTTGGTGCACGTAATTTAAGTGTTTCACGTTCGTCAATGGCCACAACAATCAATCCCTGAATTGCACTTGAGCGATTGGCCTTGATACAGAGATGGAATATGCCTGCCCGTGGCACATGTCGCAAGCGGAAGTATGGCTCGTACAATAGGTTCCCATACATGTCCGCTCCTTGCCCTCCACTCCGTGTGCCTTCTCAGGTAGTTGATCCGCGCAGCGTTTGTCTCCTGGGCGGCACATGTGCGTCATTTGCGCAGAATTGCGATGCGTAGTACGTCAATGAGGTTTCAGACTGAAAGAGACGAATCCGCCTGGTATGGTTTGGTCGGACCTGACCACGAGATAGGGACCTGAGAAAGTAATCCACCGTCGTAGAATCGCCCGGTGATGAGATGTCTGATCAGCAGCAGGACCGTATTAACGACCTCTCGTAGCAAACCACCAATGGGGAAGCAAGTCTGTTAAAGATAATAAAGCCAGTCTTCACAGTTCAGCCTGACATGGAAACTCGATCTCCGCATAACTCCTTGTGGCCATGCTGTCCGCCTTTTCTACCGCCTTTCCTGCCTATCTGAGTAGACTCTCACAACTCCACTCCGGATGTTCGGACTGGAATTCCACATAAACCTCTCATTGCGGCCCGCCTCTTCTCACCCTGTTGCTTGCCTATACAAGTAGGTAAAGTCTGACACCTCCAGCCCGGCTTGAGCTCACATAGGGATTGATCATCTATCAATATCTACAGGGAGTATGTTACGATTCCGCTCTTCCAAACCCTTTGCCAGTTGAAGACTATTCTGAGTGTCCACTAACTTTCCCATGCAGATAGTTCCATGCAAGAGCAGGTGGGCATCTTCGACATCCACGATGATCCTGGTAGTCCCAGTGAGTCAGAAGCACCACAACAGATCTAGAACGACGCCGATTGCTATAGGCAGTATCAAAGGTAGGCGAATAGCACTGACTCGCAGCAGGCAAAGAATGCTTCGGTCAAAACTCAGAACGCTTGGGAGAGGATGTGGCACTGCGGAGGACAATTGGCGGTGCTCTAAAGCGAATCACGTGGTATGAGAGTTGTGAATCCAAACTTCCTTGCCCTTACAGTGCGGAAACAGACTGCACTGCCTCCTGGTCTCCTCAGGAAGGAGGGAGGAATACTTGCGTCTTCGCTATGCGCTTGCTAGCCACAAGTTTTACCAAATGAAGATTCCCGGCCACCCGCACTTGCTCTATATGCGTCTTAGAAAGTTCGTATGAGGCCAATCTAGAGCCTCATGAAGTTAACATTCAGGTTAGGTCTAGGCATCACCAACAAAAATTATGGGTCACTCACCCCTACTTTGTTGCATCGCTGTGATCTGTATGAGTCCTGCTATAAATCTAAAATGGGGTCTCAGGCCACCTGTGCAGTTCTATGCATCGAAATTCAGAACAGGATCTGGCCAGCTCTAACAGTGACCAGATAAGGTTCGAGCTGTTTTTGTTGATTTGTATCGGTCCTGCTGTAAGATCCTGCCAAGTCCGGGTTCCTGGGATTTGCATGCAACTCATGGTTTGTACGACTCCAGCTCTAAGACGTAACCAACTAGGGTTTCACAAATCTCTTATGCAACTTATGAAACTCCCAGGTCTAAGCTTCCGCTACATCTGTACATGTATACGTCTCAACATCTTGTATGAGGTCGTTGCTGAGACGCATGGTGCGGGAAGTCAAGGTACCAAGCCAACCGCGCTCTTTTTCCATGCGTCTGGCATGCCCAGAAGCCATGACTTGCTTCCATGGTCTGTTTGCCAGCAAAGTCTAGACAAAGAGAGCTAGATGAAATCAGCAAATCAACGTCTCCAGCCGACCAACGCAGGTTTGGGGGCAATCTACCGTCAATGCGAATGGCGACGACGCAGCATTGTTCGAATTTCGAACCGGGGGTCTCTCGCATGCAAAAGTGCTGGGACAGAGGCTACTCAATCTCGTGTCTAAAGACTCATGCTCGTTTCCAGCGTAACGCTTGGTTCTGGGCAACGGTACGTGGAAATCCGGTAGCATCCATAGCACCTGTAGCAAGCACAGCACCCGTGGCACCCGCAACACCGGTGACAACCGTGACACGCGTGACAGGCACAGCACCCGCACACCCGTCACGCAAGATCACCTTTATGCGTAAATAATCAGTATGGAATCTGTCTCCAGCGAGCCATGTGAACGTTTAGGGACTACTCGAGGCAATGAGGCCATACGCTATAGCTGAGTGAGTTATTTTGAGCAGTATAGTGCACTCATCCGTTTGCATTTGATTGCGAAATTTCGTGCGCATAAGCACGTGAATAATGATGAACCGGGCATTCTCAAGTGTTGGACAGACGCACCGCAGAGTATTTCAAAATGTCTAATGCTATGCCTGCTCAAGTATTTGTTTGGGAATGCTCGAGTTCGAGCGATCTCCATTCACAGACCAATCGTGAAGCTGAAAGTACACCACTATGACCACAGTACAATGGAGTGCTTCTTTGACAGATTCAAACAAGTAGGAAAGGTAACCCAACTCATATATACATTGCCATCGCTAACTAAGTGGGACTTTCCTGTACTGAGCCCTATACCTGGCATGTCGACACGGCCAATCCCTCAGTGCACTCTTCGTCTTTAACAATGTGACAAACGTTCATTATCTCATTATACATGGACTGGGTATCTAATCTAAATGTCTCATCCGCCTACGATGCTGTACAAGAGACTTCTCTTGAAGCCCTGCTCTCAACTCTTCAACCCACTCCTCGCTCTGTTGCGCTTGCTCTTCCAATCGCTGCCGTCCCGCGTCGCCATAAAGAAGAAACTTGTTCCATCTGAATGCCATACGATCCAACAGCTCTGCCGTTCTCTCGCCTTCGATTTCGCGAACGTGGTGGAGGATCCATGTGAACTTCCGCTCACGAAGTGGCATGTTCTCTTTCAATGGTCGGGTCACGCCTGAATGAACCAGCGCGCGAGACATGAGCGGGTCTAATTGCGCACCACGAGATCGCAGGTAATGAAGCAAATTGACGACTCTGCGGAAGGCCTGCCTTGCAGTTATGTGCGAAGCATTTGCAAATTTCCAGGCGATGAGATGGATGAGTCTGGTTTTCCACACAGACATGGCGTTGTTAGGTCGATCCCGAAGTGCCATTGGAAGTCCGTTTGCGATCTCCCGGGAGCGGAGAAGCTTGACAGTCTGCGCAGCTGTAAGTGGCCCGCCGTCAAGGAGCGCAAAGATCAGCTCGGGATATGAGCTGGGCCACACGTTCTTGGCTTTGCGATACACATTCAAAGCGAAGCCGATGTTGCCTGTCTTCATCAGATGACGAATGGATCGAACATTTGATCGGAAGTGGGAGGAAACGTTTGGATCCCGGCTAAGCTTGTAATGGAACTTGTGGAGATTCGTCGGCTCCATGTTGTGGATTATCAGGCTAATTGTTTCGTCGAGCACGTAATGGTAGGGGTTCCGGGTTTCTGCTAGGGCTTTGACGAGATCCATATAGGGCGCGATAGTCGGCGTGTTTCGAAGGTCGTAATTGGCGATGCGGGATCGCAGATATTCGTGGACTCGCGCGGGCGACCCTCTCACTGAATGATCGGGTTGCGGCTTTCGGACGAGATCCAGATGGGGCGCGATAGCAGGCGTATTTCGAAGGTCGCACGTGGCTATGCCGGATTGTGAGTATTCGTCGACTTGCGCGGGCGACCCTCTCGCTGAATGATCGGGTGGCGGCTTTCTCCCCTGCTTCTGATAATGGATCCCACCTGGCAGAAGTACAGGTTCAGATCCAAGCACCCTCACCTGACTCAATAGCCTGCGCGTTGCGGACGACTCCTCCAGTCGCGGAAGGACCCAGTGGTCCAACAACATGTACGCTCCGTCAATCGAAGTTAATTGCTTGAAGTAGTCGGCTATATCGCTGGGGTGAAAACGTTCCGCGACACAACGGTGGGCTTGTATCCAATCTTCGCGCGTGCGTGGTGAAGTGATAGATTCAGAGCAATGGTGCAGGCACGTGAGCCAGGGGACGACAATAGACGACGTTGCTGATGTCTCTGCGGATGCGTCGCGGTCAATTGATCCAAGAAGAGTCTGGGTGGTGATTGAAAGTATTCCTCCATAAACCTCAAGACCGGCCAAACGCTTGGTTATCTCGTGCAGGGCAACCATCTGACGATCTCTGAGATTCTGATCCGCAACGTCAACGACATGATGACGGGCCCAGCGGGCCAGCGATGTGCCAATGAGATTTCCGCTCATGCTTGAATGGACTTCGGGTACCATGCAATAGATATCGACCGCCAGATTTAAAGCGGTAATGTCGACGTTTGCCCGGCAAAGACTTTCGATGAGCCTCAGCATTATTGGGCCAGATTTGGCAAGGACAGGAGTCCCATCATCCGAAGAAACTATAGCTGACCAGATCAAATTGCACCAGTGAGTCAAAGCGCCTTGGACCAGTGACTCTGTTCTTTCGCAGTTTCGAGCAAATATTGGGAGGTCGCTGACGATTCGCTTCAGCTCGGTGAGGGAGATGGT